AAAAAAAAAAAGTTTCACGAATCGCTCCGAATTCCTCAATGTTATCAACACATTGATTATTCCTCTTAAAAACGTATATTTTCAATATTACAAACGCTGTCGCAAAATGCGACGTTACGCACTAATATTACGTTACTATCACACCTGAAATATGCGAGTTTCAATTTATACGTGAGAAATAAATTTGAAGTAATTAAATTATCGTTTAACGGAAATTATCGTTCCTGAACGATTGCATCACTAGGTCCAAAGTACGAAACCAAAATTGAAGCCAGATATCCAATTGATAATTCGATAAGTTCGGTATAAAAGTCAGATCTTATTTTTTAAGTACGCCAGTTCTTATCCAAAAAGCGATCGTAAAAGAGTGTGGTATTTTTTGAATTGCAAGCGTCAATTGCAATGAGACGTGAGTAATTGTAATTAAGAAATATTAGTTCAAATAATTCGTAACTATTATTTGAACTAATAGAGAACAAAATAGAAAGTAAATAAGTAGATGATCACTTGATTACGACAATTAGTGATTAACGAACGTTCGATGCAAATTAAAGTCATAGTAGTTGTACCACAATAAAAAGAAAGATGGTAGTGTTAGAAATTAAATAATTTTAGTTAATTATTTACAAATGATCGAAATCTTTTCGTTATCTTCAATTACGTTATCGGTGAATGGAATGTTTCTCAATCTATGTAATAATCATCGTCAACGACGGATTGAAAAAAGCTCCATCATTGATAAAATAATTAGCTATATACCAGAGTCTTTTTAAAAATCTAAATATCATTGTTCTCCGTTTAAGCAAAAATGAACTTCCTCTCAGTTGACTTGTAGTAAAAATTCTGTAAAAATTCTGACAATGTCTACGCACAGTTCGATCATCGATCGATGATTTTCTCTTATTTCAGGTTTATTGCTGACAGTCGCTGTTTTCGCAGCGACGGGCTACGTTTCTTCCGAGACGCAGCAACAAGCGCCGACGGAATTATGTACTTCTGGCGAATATCTACCACACGAATGCAACTGCAAGCTGAAATCTCTGTATTACGAATGTGTCGATGGGAAATACGTTGAAAGGCAATGCCCGGACGGCAAAATTTTCGACAGCAATAGTAGTCGGTGTGTGACAGCAGTCTATTGTCCACCAACGGGATACAAACTTATTGCTGACGAGGCGAATTGCAGCTTGTACTACGAGTGCAGGGACGGTGTCAAGACGGAGAAAACTTGCAAAAACGGATTGTCTTTCGACGAAAAGACACACATGTGTAGTTGGCCACCGAGTAGCGAGTGCTCGTTCAAACGAACGAATCTATTCGATGCAATGGAGAGCAGTGACGACTACAAATGTCCAGCAAGTGGAAACACGCGACTACCGCATGAATGCTCCTGCACTAAGTATTACGCTTGCGAGAACGGGCATAGGTTCGTTGAAGATTGTCCAAACGGTATGATATACGATTATATCAGACATATTTGCGACTATTCGTACAACGCCGTGTGCAAACACAGGAAAAATAATGATAATCTCTCTGGAGATTGTGTTATTTCAAATGACTGCAGTGTTGGTTCAACTAAACGCTTTCGTCACAAGTATTGCAGGTTGTATTATCAATGCTACAGCAGACTCAAATGTCTTCGGTCATGTCTCGAAGGACACGTCTTTAACCCAATAATCGAATCGTGCGACCGACCGGAGAACTACCCCGAATGTGTGGATTATGAGGATTTTACTACTCCCAAAGACCAAGACTGTCAGTCATGTGCTTGCACTAATTGTATCCCTCGTTATCCTGACAACACAAACTGTTCCAGATACTTTGAATGTGAAAGCAACATAAAAGTATCAAGGGTATGTCCTCCGAATCTCGTGTACGATCCTAACAGACAGATTTGCGACTATCCGCAGAATGTAAATTGCTCCCCTCCCCCCCGCTGCAACGAAGGGGAGTTAACTCACCACGAGTGTCAGTGCAATCTGTACTACGAATGCGTAAACGGAAGGAAAAAGATCGTGACCTGTCCCGATGGGAAGTACTTCGACTGGGAAACCAAGAAATGCCGCCCGCCAGAAGAGGTTCGTTGCTATCCTCAAGGCTGTATCGGCATTTGTCCATCGAACGAGACTAAAAAATTGCCCCACGACGATTGCCACAAGTATTGCGAATGCACGAAAGGAAGCAACAAGGTTGTCACTTGCGATAACAAACAGATTTACGATCCGGAGCAACAGAAATGCATACCGCCGGAGGATTCGAAGAAGACGTGCGAGTTCTTCCCGTGCGATCCAAACTCCAATTCTACATCGCTGATCCCGCACCAGTGTCTCTGTGACAGATACTACGAATGCAAGAAAGGGCACAAGTATCTCGTGTTATGCCCGGACGGAAAACACTTTGACTACGTGCAAGAAAGATGCATTGATAGCAAAGATGGTGCTCACTGCTACAAACGGGAACCGTGTTCGAGCGATCCAGACTGCGGCGATGTCAAATGCACCACCGACGGCAGCACAAGCCCTCACAAAGACTGTACGAAATACTGTGTATGCAGGAACGGGTACGGAGTTACCGAGAGCTGTTCTCCGGGTCTGTACTTCGACAAAGTGTCGGGGAAATGCGCCTGGCCAGAGAACGTGGATTTAGCGAAGAATTGCCAACCGTTTAACTGTACCGATAATCCAATACCTCACGACTGTAACTGTACGTTTTACTATCAATGCGAGAAAGGAGACAGATATCTCGAGACATGCGATGGAACTTACTTCGACTACGTCCTCGGGAAATGTGTGAATATCGCGAACGATCCTCACTGTTATCATCACTATTCGAACAATAGAGAGGTGGACAACTGTGTTGAGCAATGCTCGAAACATTCATCCGTTCGCATGCGTCACAAAAAATGCTCGCAATACTGCGTATGCTCAATGGGAGCACCGTATATCGTCAGGTGCCCCGACGGTAAAGAGTATAACGAAAGAACGCAGAATTGTACGTCTCGAGAAACTGCTAATTGTCAGCCTTGGCAAGAGAACGAAAACAAGCCACCTTTGTCAAATTTCCCATTTGTCGATTACCTCTAGTAAATGGAAGAAAGTAATTCGCAGAATGAGCTAGAAATGTAAAGATAAATCATTTATTTCGTAAGTTTTTTTATTGCGAATATTTGTTGTATTGGAGCGCATCAAATGTAAAATGCAATGACGTTTGCTTTCAATTTCAATGTAACCTAATGCTTCTTTCTTTTTAATACAACTAGATTCTATTTAATGCAAATTTACTGTAAGTAAGTCAATTAGTAATGAACGATAATGAACGATCGACGAACATGCGTGCGATACATAGCATGTACGAAAAAACTTTAATTTAATAATCATTCGTTCGATTCATCACTACTGTTGATATTTTATTTTGTAAACGACAAAAGCATTATCATAAAATTGATAATACGTTGAGAGAATGTTAAACGATCAGATTGTAAATAAAACGATGGAAATAAAAGTTAAGTCATGTTACATCGCGTACTTTGAAAATTCGATGATTTCGGCAATGACGAAACACGTCCCGTGTCCCGACTTTCGATAATGTAAAATTGATTATCAAAGTGTACGTCACCGATGAATAAAAAATAAAATAATGAAATTTATTTTATTTATTGAAAAAATAAAATTTATTCACAAAAGATGATTCTTTCGCTTCCCATTATGCACGTAGACGTACAAGCGACCTCGCATCCAAGTTAAAAATTATTTGTTGAAACATTACGATTTAATATCGTTTCATTTTTTTTTTTTTTTTTTGGTTCTATCAGTGACTGAAGAATGTGGAACATAAATCGATAAGGATAACAATGTCGAAATTCACGAAAGCGATAATCGATTTGATCAGAAAGAAACTAATCTGAAGCTATCGATTCGGAATTCTGTTGTAACGCGATGGTTTTTTTATCGTAATCCTCTCCTCCCCAACGCACGTATTCCACTTTTCGATAAAATTCATCGTTGTATCAATATTAGATGTGGGCTACGGGGACAGCGCTATTTACACAATTGTACTTTCATTTACAATCATGACATTTTTGTAAATATCAATTTTGAAACATTCGAGTTCCATCGAATTTCGTAATTGTTATTTGACACAGAGGAGACAAACAATTTTGGATTCTCTGTATCGCGTCTTTCTAGCCTCGAGTCTCTCTTTTT